AGGTGGGGACAGGGACAAAAGGGGATAAATGACATGGAGATGGGGGTAAAAGGATGGGGACAGGGGTAAATGGGGATAAATTGAATGAGAACAGGGTAAGAGGGGACAAAGGACATGGGGACAAGGGATCCCTTTCCCAGGGATCTGATCCTGCTCAGGAGCTTGGCAAGGATGGTGAGAGGAGGGAGCAGCAGGATGGGAATCCCAGATTTCCACTCCAGGATCTCAATTCCCAGTTTCTTTTTCTCTTTAAACTCCCAAGGTTATCCTGAATTTCCCCTCCTTACCCTCACACACCTGTGGCTGTGCCCTGAGCTCTCCCAGGAGGAAAAATCCCTGGAATTCAGCAGGGCCTGGGCAGGATGGGGCTGCCATGGATACTGTCACCATGGAGCTGTTGTCATGGTGACCCTGCTGTGGATGGAGGAAAGGGAAAGGGAAAGGGAAAGGGAAAGGGAAAGGGAAAGGGAAAGGGAAAGGGAAAGGATTCCCCTCTGAATTCCTGCTGGAAGGTTTTTTTTAGGAATTCCTCACTCAGTGGAGTTTATTCCCCTCTGAATTCATTCCGGAAAGGGTTTTTTAGGAATTCCTCACTCAGGCGTTGCCATCACAAGGTACCAAATCTCTGCTCTGACTGTGGCGCTCCTGATTTATGGTCCACCCAAAAGGGGAGAGTTTGACAGCTGGGAACAGCTGGAACAGCTCAGGGGAGCTCCAAACCCCTCCTTTCCAGCTGGGAGAGGCTTTTGTGGAGATTTTAGGGTGGGAGAGGCAGAAATCAGCCGGAGCTGGAGCTGGCAGAGGCGCAGGAAGAGGGAGGGAAGCTTCCGGAAGCATTCCTGCTCCTGCTGCAGGGATCTGTGCCCTGGAAGCTGGCTGGGATCCCACTGGGATGAGCTCACTCGGAGCTGGAGCTGCTCTGGGGCAGCTGGGGAAGGGAAAATCTCCAGGATGACTTTTAGATGGTGGCTGAGAGAGGCTTTATGTATCATTTTTGGTCTAATTTTCTAATTTTTGGCATAATTTTTTATGTAATTTTTTATATTTTTCTGCGTAACTTTTTGCCTAACATTCTATTTCTCAGCATAATTTTCTGCCTAATTTTCTGGCCTAATTTTCTTTATAATTTTCTTCATAATTTCCCGCATCATTTTTTGGCCTAATTTTCTATATAATTTTCTATTTTTCTGTGTAATTTTCTGCCTAATTTTCATTATAACTTTTGGCCTAATTTTCTATATAATTTTCTCTTTTTCTGCATAATTTTCTGCCTAATTTTCATCCTAATTTCCCGCATCACTTTTTACCTAATTCTGTATTTTTGGACATAATTTCCTGCATAATTTTTTGCCTAATTTTGTATTTTTTGTCACAATTTCCCCTGGATCCCTTTCCCAGTGATCCTTTCCCTGGGTCCCTTTAGCATGCAGCTGCTCCTGGCTGGAACGGGAGCCATAACGAACTCACAGCTCGTTATCTCTGGGGCTATAAAACCATTCCTGGTGGGATTTTGGCCACGTTCTGGGTGATTTTTGCCATTTCTGAGCCAATCCAAATGCACAGAGCCGGGCTGTGGGGATCTCTGAGGGAGCTCAGCCTCGTCTGGCAGTGGGAAGGGCTTGGAGGGGGGCCAGGGATTGTTGTGCAAAAAGAAAAAGGAAAAAATCCTGGCAGGGCTTCAGCAGGAAGGGAGAACGGCAGGAAACGCTCGGGGCACGGGGCCAGGACAGGCTCAGGCTGGGACAGAGCTTCATTCAGAGCTTTTTGGGGTGAAAAGAGTCAGTTCTTGGCCAGTTCTGGGACAGAGCTTCATTGAAATCGTTTTGGGGTGAAAAGAATCAGTTCTTGGCCAGTTATGGGGGTAGAGCTTCTTTCAGAGCATTTTGGGGTGAAAAGAGACAGTTCTTGGCCAGCCCTGGGGACAGAGCTTGATTCTAATTATTCAAATATTCATTTTGGGGTGAAAAGATTCACTTCTTGGCTGGGCTGAACATGGCTGGGGTTTGTTCAGGAGGCACAGATGGGATGGGATGGGATCCATGGGATGGGATGGGATCCATGGGATGGGATCCATGGGATGGGAATGGATTCTCATTCCCACATTCCTCCAGGATGGAGCAGAATTGGAACAGAGCTTGATTCAAATCATTTTGGGGTGAAAAGATTCAGTTCTTGGCTGAGTTGGGTTCCTGCAGATCCATGGGATGGGAATGGGAATGGGAATAGGAATGGGAGTGGAGGGGAGCAGATGTGGATTCCCATTCCCAAATTCCTCCAGGATGGAGCAGCATTGGGACATCACCTTATTTCAATTATTTTGGGGTGAAAAGATTCAGTTCTTGGCTGAGTTGGGTTCCTGCAGCTGGGAGAGGCTGAGAGTCCCTGGGATTTGCTCAGGAGGCACAAATGGGATGGGAGTGGGGATGGAATGGGATGGAAATGGGAATGGGAAGAGAGATGGGATGGGATTTATAGGATAGAATGGGAATGGGGTGGGATGGGAATGGTGAGGAGCAGACATGGATTCCCACTCCCGGATTCCTTGGGGATGGTGCTGAGGTGGCATTTCCTCATCCCTGAGGAGTCATCCCAGGTCCCCAGGCTGCTTGTGTAACTCTGCTTTCATCTCTGACATGCTGGGAGCAGTGGGAGGATGGAAATTTGGGAGTGGAGCTGGCACAGCCTCAGCTTGTCAGCAGTGAAACTGGGATTCCTCAAGGGAAGCAGGATCTGTGGGATCTGCAATTCCATCAGTCAGCAGGAAAAGGACATTTTAACCCCAAAAATCCGGTGCTGTGCAATTCCATCGGTGAGCAGGAAAAGGATGTTTTAACCCCCAGAAATCCAGTGCTCTGGAATTGTATCAGTTAGAAGGAAAACAACATTTTAAACCCCAAAACCCCAGGGATGGACTTGGGCATGGTGTGCCCTTGAGGGGTGGGAAATCAGGGGTTGATCAGGCCCTGAGATGCAGAAAGAAAAATCCCTGAGCAGCAGAGCCAGGTGTGTGGGAGGATTTGGGATTGAATTTTGGGATCTTTTTGCTTTCCACTCCCAGCTTACCTCAGAGTTCCTCTCCCCAAGAGCTTCCTTAGGATATAAAAGTACCTGAAAAATGCTGGATAAATGTAATTTTCTTTGCTTCCTGGATCTCCTTTACAACCAAATAAACCACTGGGATCTCTGCCCTTGCATTCAAACCCTTTTAACCTTTTCCATCAAGCCCATAGCAAATAAAAAGCTCCAATTTTTTGCACCTTGTGTTCCCCAGCCCCAAAAACATCTCCCTCCTCCACAGAGCCAAAATTTATCCATGGGTTGGGATAAAAATAGGCAGTAAATTATAGATGAATAAATCATAGAATAGATGAAGGAAGATGAACATAAATGAATAAATGATAGAATTATATTAAATTACAGACAGGAAATCTGCTGCCTGGATTGCAGATTCCACAATGGCTTCCCTGGAAAGACAATGATTCCCAGGAAATCCAGCTCTTCCCTCTTTTCCAGCTGCTCTTTGTGCCCAGCTATCAGCAGCACGAGGAAACCGAGTGGAAAAATTGAATCTGGCAGCAGATGCATGAAGGCACACGAGCCCCAAACCCAGGCACCAAAAATAGCTGAAAGAGGGGGGAAAAAACCTGAAAAGAGCCTTTTTAACGATTCCTTTTCTTTCCAAAGCTTTGCCCCCGGGCACAGCCATGCTGCTGTTTGTGTGTGTGGGAGGCATAGCAGAGTGGGAGAGCTGCTGTTTCTTTATTTTATATTTCTTTGGTTTGTTATTCCATGGAAAAACTCCCTTTTTGTTGTTGTTTTTTGGCTGTGTTTTCCATGTTTTCCAAGGGCTGGTGGTGGCCAGGGCCCTGGGTACTGAGCTCCAGCCTGGATTTCATTTTCCAGGGGGTTTGGAGAGAGTTTAGGAAGGAAAAAAAGGGGCAACCCAGCATTTTTTTACTGGAGAATATTCCTGGGATGAAGACAGCCAGAGCCTGAGACACAAATCCTGCAGGAATTTTGAGGATTGAGGGTGTCCTGTCCTTTTCCTGAGAGCAGGACCAGTTCATGTCCCTCCAAACCCCATCTCTGCAGCTGGCACATGCTCAGGGCTGGGGTTTTTCCAACTTTGGCTGGAATATTTCAGGAACCAGCTTTTAAAATCCTGATCCCACAAACCTGTGAAGCTCCCTGACTAAAATTAGGATTCCAAACACTTGGTGGTGTGAGGTTTGACCACATTCCCAGGTGTGTGGTTAAAGAAATCACCCTCTGAGTGCTCTGCCAGGGAACACCCTCAGCTCTGCAGGGTTTGCTGCTCTCTGCCCTCCCAAAATCATTCCAGGAGCACATTCCTGAGCCTGGGAATGCCTCCTGCAAGTGGCTGATGTCATGTTTGCCTCGGAGAGGGAGGCCTGGTGGCCTTTGCAGCTGGGCTGTGACAGCTCCTTGCTGACGTGACATCTGCCTGCTGATGTGGAAAAGGAGCAGATCCCAAAATCCTGGAGTGGATTTATCCCTATCCAAGCACAGCCCCACGTGTGTGGAGGAGCTTTTTGGTGTTCAGAGGCCTAAGGGCTGCTCTGTGTGGGTCTCAGGGGTGGTGCCTGAGGTTTAAAGGTCATAATTCAGCACTTCAGACAGCCTGGAAATGGGATTTGGTGGTGCTGGAATGAGGAATTTGTGCCTGGTGGGGCTGGATGGAACAAGGGTTATCCCTGTGTCAATTAGCACTGCTGCTAATTAACAGAACAATGCCACTAAATGAATTTGCTGGGGGTGTCTTCCCAGCCCTGGAATCATCTGGATCATCTCCATCTCTTTTCCCAGCCCTGGACTTCATTCCTGAGGGATTCAGCGTCGACATCCCAGTGGGAATAGCAAGTCCCTCAGCCCCTCCGATCCTCCTCACCCCTTCCTGGCCTCCTACCCAATCATCACAAGCTGCCAGTTAATGATTCCTTGCTGCTAATTAATGATTCCTCCTCGCTGGTCTGTTGCAGGGCAACCATCGATGAGGTGGAAACGGATGTGGTGGAGATCGAGGCCAAGCTCGACAAGGTGAGGGCAGATTGTGGTCTGAAGGACACTGCTGGATCCCCTGCTCAGGAATGGGGTCCCTCCAGGTGTCCCCTAAAATCTGAGCCCATTTCCAGCTGTTAAATTCAGATTTAGCACCCCAGACCTGGGGCCTGGCAGGTGTGGTGGAGATGGAGGCCAAGCTTGACAAGGTGAGGGCAGATTGTGGTCTGAGGGGGACTGGGGATCCCTGCTCAGGAATGGGTCTCTCCAAGTGTTCCCTAAATTCTGAGCCCTTTTCCAGCTCATAAATTGATGTTTAGCACCTCAGGCTTGTCCCCAGGACTCCTCTGAGCTGGGATAAGAGCTCCAGTCCAGCTCCTCCTGGGACAGGCTGTCCTGTTCCAGGATGGGATTTCGTCCCTGTCCTGGACTGGGATTTTACCCCTCTTCTTTCTTGGGTGGGATTTTGTCCCTGTCCCAGGGTGGGATTTTCCCGCTGTCCCACCCGTGACAGTTCCCAGCACAGCAGGAACGGGAAGGGCACCTGTCCCAAAGCCCTGGGCTGGGTGTGGGACAAAGCCAGGCTGGTCCAAAGCCCGTGCTGAGCTCGTGTCTGTGCGTGCCCTTGCCCCCATGTCCCTGTCCCCATTTGTGTCCCCATGTGTGTCCCCTGTCCCTGTCGGTGTGTCCCCAGCTGGTGAAGCTGTGCAGTGGCATGCTGGAGGCTGGCAAGGTTTACATCACCACCAACAAACATTTCGTCAGCGGCGTGAGGGACCTGTCCCAGCAGTGCAGGAAGGACCAGATGATCTCGGTGAGCCTGGGGGGCTGGGGGTGCTCAAATTCCTGATCAGGGGGCTGGGGGTGCTCAGATCCCTGTTCCTGGCTCAGGGGGGAAGATCCCTGCTGCTGGGAATGGATCACAAGTCCAAGCCCCTCATGCTGCTTAAGCAGCCACTGAAAATGAGATTCAGTGGGAAATCAGAGTGAGATCCACTCAAAATGAGATTTGTGTTTGGAGGGATGCAGAGAATCGGATAATACCAGGCTGGGAGGTCAGAGATCCATTTAAAATGGGATTTGCTGGGAGGTCAGTGTGAGATCCATTTAAAATGAGATTGGGTGAAAGGTCAGGCTGAGATCCACTCAAAATGAACTCTGAGGGAGATCAGAGTGAGATCCACTCCGGCTGAGCTCTGCAGGCAGGTCCAGGCTCTGCAGGCAGCGCTGGGCTGTGCAATGTAGGTCAGTGAGCAGCAGGGATTTGGGAGGTGAGCAGCCCACGCAGAGCTGCACACGTGGAGCTCAGCTCTGCACTGCCAAGGAAAGGCTTCAAGGGCTCCAAACCCTCCCTGGCAAGGACCAGGGGCTCCTCAGAGCCTTCCTGAGCCTCTGCCCAGCCCTGGCAATGAGGGGCAGCTGCTTCTCTTCACTGCCAGGTCCCTTCACCTTATTTATTTTTATTTTATTTTATTTTTATTTTATTATAATTTTATTTTATTTTTATTTTTTATTTTATTTTTATTTTATTATAATTCTATTTTATTTTTATTTTTTATTTTATTTTTATTTTATTTTATTTTTATTTTATTATAATTTTATTTTATTTTTATTTTTTATTTTATTTTTATTTTATTTTTAAATTTTTGTTTAATTAATTTAATTTATTTCATTTCATATTTATTCCTTTTTTAATTGTATTTTATTTTATTTTTAGTATCGTATTGTATTTTTGTTTTTTCAGGAGTGCCTGGATAAATTTGGGGACAGCCTACAGGAAATGATGAATTACCACATGGTAAGGGGCTGCCTCCTCCTCTCCCTTTGGGTGCTGGTGGCATTGCTGATGTCCCCTGTGTTTGCCACAAACAGAGGTCCTGCAAGGGGGACAAAAAAAAGGACGAGAATTCACCAAAATCTTGCACTCCAGAATTTTCTTTTCTTCCTTTTGGGCAGCAGAGGGAGGACATACAGAGCCCTGAGGAGGATTTTGGCTGGTAAAAAGCTTTTGGGGGCAGATTTTTCCCCCTTTCTCAAAATAATTGATATTTTTTCCCCTCTTCTCTCTTCCAGATCCTGTTTGACCAGGCCCAGAGGTCGGTCCGGCAGCAGCTGCACAATTTTGTCAAAGAGTGAGTGTTTATTTAGTGTTTGTCCTTTTCCTTTAATTTTCAGCTTCCTGAGCTTCCCATTCCTCCTGTCCTGGGAATGCAGGGAGCAGAACCAGAACCTCCCTGCAGGGCTGATCCTGCAGGATAAACATCCCAAAATCTGCAGGGCTGATCCTCCAGGTTAAACCCATCCCAAAATCCACCTGCAGGGCTGATACTTCAGGAAAATCCCATCCCAAAATCTGCAGGGCTGATCCTCCAGGATAAACCCATCCTAAAATCCACCTGCAGAGCTGATCCTGCAAGACAAACCCATCCCAAAATTCAGATCCTGAAGGGCGGATCCTGCAGGGCGGATCCTGCAGGATAAACCCATCCCAAAGTTCAAATCCTGCAGGGCTAATCCTCCAGGATAAACTCATCCCAAAATTTAGATCCCACAGGCCAAGCCCATGCCAATCCATCTGCAGGGATGATCCTGCAAGATGAACATCCCAAAGTTCAGATCCTGCAGGGCTGATCCTGTGGGATAAACTCATCCCAAAATCCATCTGCAGGGCTGATACTTGAGGCAAAACCCATCACAAAATTCAGATCCCTACAGGCCAAACCCATCCCAAAATCTGCAGGGCTGATCCTGCAGGATAAACTCCTCTGAAAAATCAGACCCTGAAGGGCTGATCCTGCAGGATGAACATCTCAAAGTTCTAAAGAAAGACTTGACTGAAGCTGGAACAGACACGCTGGGCTGGGCTGGGATCCTGCTGGCACCCATGTTTTATTCTCACCCCCTAACCTTGCTTTCTCCCCGTTTCTCCCAAATTGCCCCATCTGTGGCCCCAGTGACGTGAGGAAGTTCAAGGAGACCAAGAAGCAGTTTGACAAGGTGCGGGAGGACATGGAGATCTCCCTGGTGAAGAACGCGCAGGCGCCGCGGCACAAACCGCACGAGGTGGAGGAGGCCACGGGCACGCTGAGCATCACCCGGAAATGCTTCCGGCACCTGGCCCTGGACTACGTGCTGCAGGTGGGGCGCCTCGCCCTCTGAAGCCTCTGCGCTTCAGTCTTCTGTTTTTCAGATTTACTGGGTGGGTCTGAGCTTCGTATTAGGGGAAGTTGTCCTGCTCAAATTCAGGATTTTCCTGATTTTCCCGACTTTTTCTTTTTTTGAATTTCAATTTAAATCCTGCATTAGGCTCTCTTCACAAGAGTAGGGATGTTTGATTAGGGTTTGGTTTTTTTTTTTTTTTATTTAGAAATGGGGTAACTGAGGTGTTTGAAAAGCTTTTATTCCATTTTCAGTCTCATGTGAAGGGTGAGACAATACAGATGTTATAATTCACACCATCACAATCAGAAGTTAACTATTTTCTTAATTTCTTAGTTATACTAATTTCTAAATTATAATACATAGTAATTATATTAGTAATTTCTTAATTATAATGTGATATAAGTGTTTCTTGGCCTATCAGTGTTAGTTAGACCATGCTGTAAATGCTTTAATAATCCAAAATTACCCTTTTAATAAATCATTTCAATAAATTCTATAAAATTTATACATATATGCATAAATTATATTAAAATTATATCAATATATAAAATAATTAAACAGTAAATTTTATATTACATATAAATATATATTATAATATTTATATAAAAATTATATCTTTTATATATATATATACATACACAAATAAATTCTATAAATTATCATAACATCCTTTCAATAAATTATTTGCTCTCAGTAAGAGAAAGGAATATAAGTTTCCCCAGCAGTGATTTTAGCCAGGTGAGAAGTGTGCATTTATTGCACCTTTTCCAGAACCCACCTTACAGGCACTTTGCACTGGAATAATTCAGGAATAATTTGGGACTGGTTTCCCAGTGGATCTGTAGATTCCCAGGCTGCCTTTGCTGCTGGTGCTGAGAGGAATATTTTGATTTCTTTTCCCCAGATCAACGTGCTGCAGGCCAAGAAGAAATTTGAGATCCTGGATGCGGTAAGAGCTGCAGGAAAGGAGCCCTGGCTGCTCCTCGGGGAGAAAATTCAATTTTTGGGGATTTTCAGGTGCTGCTTTCCCTTCTTTGTGCCCACAGCAGAGTGCAAGGAAGGAGAAGAGGGATAAATTGCTTGGGGAAAGTAAAACATAAAGAATTAAGAAAGAAAAATTAAAGAAAGTAAAAATAAATTTTGAGGGGGGGGAAGGGTATAGGTTTTTTACTCTACCCCAGGAAATGGAGTAAAGCAGGGATAAATTGCTCTGGGAAAGTAAAAAAAATCAAAGGTTAAACCCATTTTTTATGGGGAAAAAGGGTTTAGGGTTTTTACTCTGCCCCAGGAAATGCTGATTTGTGCCCACAGTGAAGGGGAAGGAAGGAGAGGGATAAATTGCTTGGGGAAAATGTGGAGTTAAACCTAATTTTTCTGTGGGGAAAAAAGGATGAGGATTTTGCACCGTGGCGCTGACCCAGCTCTTGTTTCCGTCCCCAGATGTTGTCCTTCATGCACGCGCAGTTCACCTTCTTCCAGCAGGGTTACAGCCTCCTGCACGAGCTCGACCCCTACATGAAGAAATTGGCCACCGAGGTGAGGGGGGCCTGGGCTCTCCGGAACCCCAAAGGGTTTGGGATTTGGGGTTCCCCTTTTGCTGCCCCAGGGCCAGCAGGGAGCACCCAGGGGCTGCTGCAGGAGTGGCTTTTTGCCTCCTTTGTGCCCCATTTCCCTCCTTTTTGCCTCCTTTTTCCCCCTCCTTTTTCCCTCCTTTTTGCCTCTTTCTTGGCTCCTTTTTCGCCCTTTTTGCCTCTTTTTTCCATGCTCCTTTCCTCCCTCCTTTCCTCCTCCATTTTCCCCTTTTTCACCTCTTTTTTCCCCTTGCCCCCCACCTTTTTCCCCTTTTCCCCCTTTTCCCCCTTTCTGGTGCTTTGGGCCCAGGATATCTCTGTCCCACCCCATCCTCTCCATCTCCATCCTGATTTTCCCCCGTTGTTTTTCCAGCTGGACCAGCTGGTGATCGACTCAGCCGTGGAGAAGAGGGAGATGGAGCACAAGCACGCCCTGATCCAGCAGAGGGTGAGCCCCAAATTCCCAAATTCATTATTTTCCTGGAAATGCTGGATTTTCCTGACTTTTCTTGATGTCTCTTGTAGCTTTTGGGCAGCTCCAGATTCCTCAGATTCAGGATTTTCCTGATTTTCCTGCCTTTTTTCTTTTTTCAATTTTAAATTTAATTCCTGCATTTAATATTCAAGTCAAAATAATTTTTTTAAAGCAGAATTTAAATAGAATAAATTTCTTTTTATTCTCACAATAGAATCTGAGGCATCTCAGATTTTCCACCCTTGGCAACGATTCCCAGCCTGAAGGCTGGGAATAAATAATGAATTACTGCTAATAATAATAAATTAAATTAATTAATTTATTTTTCTTTCCCTTTTCTTCTCCCTGCGTTGCTGCCTGGCCCTGCAGACCCTCCTGCAGGTGAGTTCCCACCTGGATCTCCACCCTGATCCCAGAAATCCTGTGCGAAACTTTGGGATTTTGGCAGATTTGTCCCTTTTTCGTGTTCTATTAATTCCTCTCCTCCCTGACCCCCTGGGGCCTGTCATTCTGAGTCTCTTTCCTCTCCCCAGGATTTCTCCTACGATGACTCCAAGGTGGAATTCAACGTGGATGCCCCCAACGGGGTGGTGATGGAGGGGTACCTGTTCAAGAGAGCCAGCAACGCCTTCAAAACCTGGAACAGGTGAGAAATTATTCCAAACAATTACTCCAATTAATTGAATTATTAATTTTAACAATTAAATAAATATTCATATTTATAGTTATATTTATATTTATATAAATATAAATATAAATATAAATGTAAATGTAAATGTAAATATAATTAATTTACTAACATTAATAGAATAAATAAATACAATACATCAATTATAAATAATATTAATAATTAGCATTATTCCAATTAACTGATATAATTCAAATTTCACCTGACCTTGGGGCTGAGGCTCTGCACTCTTCCCTGCCTTACCCAACCCCTTCAAACAACTCTAATTCCAAACCTTTTTGGAAAAGGAACACCCTAATCTTATGGAATTAATTAATTTTTTTAATTAATTTTTTTTTCCATGCAAATAAAGGCAATTTCTGTGCATAAACAGTCCATTAAAGCATTTAATCAATGTATTTATTTTATTCATTTATTTTATTTCATTGATTTATTTCAAAACCTAATGAAAATTGCAATTTTTAATGGGGAGGTGATGAGGTCTGTTTGTGTGTCTGTCCCCCCTCAGGAGGTGGTTTTCCATCCAGAACAGCCAGCTGGTCTACCAGAAGAAGCTAAAGGTCAGTGCAGCTGCCCCAGGTGACAGCAGGGGATGAACCAAGTGATTGGTTAATTAATTAATTAGTTAGTTCATTAACCAGCTGCTTGGCTGGGGAGGAGCTGGGATTTGGATCAGGGGACAGCAAGGCTGTGAGTGGGCTCCAGGAAAAAAGCAGGAAAAAAAGATTTATGAAATAATTATTTATTAAGTAATTATTTATGGAATAAATATTTATTAAATATTTATTTGTAAGATAATTATTAATTAAATAATTACTTATTAAGTAATTATTTTGGGTGGTTGGGTTAGGAGTTTGGGGGGCTTGGGAAAGCCTTGGGTGGGGGGGTTGAGGCAGGAGAGAGTTTGGAGGATTTGAGAAGAATTTTGGAGGTTTTGGGTAGGAGGAATTTTAGAAGAATTGGGAAGAATTTTCTAGGGTTTGAGGCAGGAAGGACTTTGAAAGTGTTGGGAAGGAATTTGGAGGGTTTGGGCAGGAGGGATTTTGGGAAGGAATTTGGAGGAGTTGGGACATAATTTGCAGGGCTTGAGGCAGGGGGGACTTTGGAGATTTTGGGAAGGAATTTGGAGGTTTTGGGCAGGAATTTGCAGGTTTGGGCAGGGGGGACTTTGGAGGATTTAGGAAAGAGTTTGGAGGGTCTGGGCAGGAGTTTCCCAGTTGTGCCCTGGCCCCAGGAGCCCCCCAAGCCCCTCCAGGCCCCTCCAGGCCCCGCTGTGTCCCCAGGACGTGCTGACCGTGGTGGTGGAGGACCTGAGGCTCTGCACGGTCAAACCCTGCGAGGACATCGAGAGGAGGTTCTGCTTCGAGGTCGTGTCCCCCACCAAGTGAGTGTGGGGCTCCCCACGGATCCCTGGGCTGGAGTGGCAGCGCCTCTGGCTGTCCAACCTTGTGGGAGGCATTTCTACCTGGAAACTTTGGGATGGGGAAAAGCCGCAACCTTGTGGGGCTGGAAAGTTTGGAAAGGGAACAACCCCAGCCTTAAGGGGTAAATTTTTACCTGAAGGTGTTGAAGAGGGAACACCCCAAGCTTGTGGGGTTAAGTTTTAACCAGAAGCTTCAGAGAGGGAACACCCCAACCTTATGGGGTGAATTTTTACCTGGGAAGTTTGGAGTGGGAACACCCCCAACCTTATGGGGTGAATTTTTACCTGGAAGCTTTGTAGTGGGAACCTCCCAACCTTGTGAGGCGAATTTTTGCCCTGCTGCAATTCCGGTGCTGAGGATGAGGAGGAGCAGCCTCACCCCAAGCCCTGGTGGTGTTTTTGGCTCTCCCCACCCCGCTGCAGGAGCTGCATGCTGCAGGCTGACTCGGAGAAGCTGCGCCAGGCCTGGATCCAGGCTGTGCAAGCCAGCATCGCCTCCGCCTACCGCGAGAGCCCCGACTGCTTCTACATCGAGGTGAGCCCTGAAACTGCTCCTTTTACTGACTTTTTAAAACTTTATACAGCTCTGGAAAGAGGGGGAGATGTGGGAAGTTGATTTGTAAAAAGAATTCTCAAAATATGGCAGAAAGCTCACTCCGTCTTGTACATGTATATGCAAACACTGAGATAAGCATTTACAACATAGTGTAACAAAAGCTAATAAGCCAAAAAACACTTAGAGTATGTTGTAATTAAAAAACAGTTGGCTTCTAATTGTAATAATATAAATTATAACATCTCACTCTGATAATAAAATGAAAGTTTTTAAAACACCTCTCAGTTACCCCATCTCAAAAAAATCACTTAATCCAACACTAAGGTATCCTCCCCCTCCTTTAGAGCCACTCCAAACCAAGCTGGGTTTGCCTTCCTCCAGGTGTTCATCTCCTGACTTGTTGGAGGTGTTCATCTCCTGATTTTTTGGAGGTGCTGCAGGTGTTCATCTCCTGATTTTTTGCTTATCCCTGCAGAGGCTGGACAGAACAGCCTCCCCCTCCACCAGCAGCATCGACTCAGCCACGGATTCTCGGGAGCGGGGCGGGAAGGGGGAGCCGATCCTGCAGAGGGTGCAGAGCATCCCTGGGAACGAGCAGTGCTGTGACTGTGGGCAGCCAGATCCCCGCTGGGCCAGCATCAACCTGGGCATCCTGCTCTGCATCGAGTGCTCCGGCATCCACAGGTGCTGCTGGGCTGTGGGATCCCGGGAAATTGTGGGGAAAATGGGCTGGGGTGGAGGGCAGGATCCTGGGGAAATGGGCAGGTATGGAGGGCAGGATTCCAGGGGAAAATCCTGGGAAAAATGGCTGGGGATGGAGGGCAGGATCCCAGGGAAAATGGGCAGGGATGGACTAAAAAATTCCCAGGAAAAAAAGCCCAGGAAGGATTAAAAGATTCCCAGGAAAAATGGCCAGGGATGAAGTGCAGGATTCCAGGAAAAGTGTCGGAGCTGGAATTACAGAGAGATAATTCAGAACTCATTAGGGAAATTCTGGGCTTGTGGGATTGTAATTATTTCTGTGTTTTCTCCCTCTTGGCTGAACAGGAGCCTGGGTGTTCACTGCTCCAAGGTCCGATCCCTCACGCTGGATTCCTGGGAGCCAGAGCTGCTGAAAGTGAGTGCTGGATTTTCCCAGGGAGAAACGCTGGGAATCCAGGGATTCCCTGGAAAAAGGGGGAGTTCCTCACCCAAGCCTTTAATTCCCTCCCTGAATTTCACTTCCAGCTGATGTGTGAGCTGGGCAACAGCACCATGAACCAGATTTATGAGGCGCAGTGTGAGGAGCTGGGGCTGAAGAAACCAACAGCAGGGAGCTCCAGGTGAGCCCAAAATCTGTGGAAAAGCAGGTTCAGGGAAAACCTGAACTTCAAAACTCTTTTTGAAGTTTGAGAAACAGGTGGACAAAACACCCCAGAGCAGCAGCTCCATCCCCTCATGGTGACTTTGAGCAAATCCAGTTCCTTCTGTTCAGGCAGGTCCAGAGACCTCAAAATGCCTCATTTTAGAGTTTGAGAAATAGGAATTTTAGCCCTCAGGTGGAATAGGAATTTTAGGCCAGAGAAGCAGCTCCAACTCCTCATGGTGGCTTTGGGCAAACCCAGTTCCTTCAGAGGGCTGCAAATGCCTCATTTTAAAGTCCAGGAAATTGGAATTTTAGACATGAGGTAGATTTGTCCACACTCCAGAGCAGCAGCTCCATCGCCTCATGGCGGCTTTTCCAAATCCCCTAAATTGCTGTTTTTGTGCTGCCCTCCTCCCTCAGGCAGGACAAGGAGGCCTGGATCAAGGTGAAGTACGTGGAGAAGAAGTTCCTGAAGAAGCTGCTGGGTGGGGAGACGCTGGCTGAGGCCGAGGCCGAGCCCAAGC